CTCCCTCCCCGCCCCTTTCATTGCTAATAATATAAAATATTACAAATCAATATAAAATAAATATATTTTAATTTATTTCAATTTGATGAACTGTAAAAACAATTGATATCGTAAAATTTGTAGTGTACCTAGATCAAGATTAATGAAGAAACTATAAACAAAAAAATAATTGTCCAATAAATTTCAATCACACAAAGTATATAATAAAAGAATTTTTTAATAATATTAATTTAGAATCAAGTTAATATAATTTCTCATTTTTTAAGGCTTTATCAAACTTACAAGGATAGCAAGTACGTCTATTTTCTCATGGAAGTATGTCTGGGTGGAGATGTTTGGACGACCCTTCAAAGGAGACGTCTTTTCGATGACGCCACTACACAATTTATGGTCGGCTGTGTAGTAGAAGCCCTCGATCATCTTCATTCACTAAACATTGTTTATCGAGATCTCAAACCAGAGAATCTTATGCTTGACACACGTGGCTATTTGAAGTTGGTGAGACACTCAATTTTTAATTATAGTAACTTAATTTCCAATTACGCGATTATTATAAAATTTCTTTAAAATATACATTTAGAAAGTATTATAATCGGTCCTGCTAAGATGAAACCATGAAACATAAAGCGCAAAAGAAATTTTGCCGTCTTTCGATTTTATTTACTAATCTTTTAAATAAGATAATTTTTAAATAATTTTCTAAATGTTTTTTACAAAGGGTAAAATTTGATCATTTTTACCTATTATAACTAGAATAAAAATCTTTTATTTTACTATTAAAATTAATAGAGAAATTTTTCGCGTTTTTATAAGAAAACGATTGATATCCTAATGCTAAAATGATTTTGTATGTATTGAATACAATATCTTTATATGTATATTGAAAGATTTTAGTAACATCAGTAAATAAACAATTATTTGTTCCAACGGTTGAAATCCAACAAACAATATATATTATAGTTTTAGATTTTATAATATAATTTCTGTAAATTCAATCATAATTAATTGATGACAGTACACGTTTTGATGAAAATTAAATCTGACAGAAGCGAGCACATGCAATTAATGTTACAAATAGAGAATTGATTTTTTTTAAACTTGACATCATCTTTGTTAATATTTCTTTATTATGCATTGTATAGCTTATACTCTTGCTTGCAAAAACCCTAATTGTGATTCATGTAAAAATGAAACATCGTACAAGAGAAAAATTATCTTTTTTCTATAGGTGGACTTTGGTTTTAGTAAGAAAATTGGTCCGGCTAAAACGTGGACGTTTGCAGGTACGCCAGAGTATGTTGCGCCGGAAATTATTTTAAATAAAGGCCATGACAGGTAAGAAATTTAAAATTATTCCAACGTTCATCATAATTGTCATATCGTATTTATATTTTCTATATTATATATTATCTTTATATATATATATATATATATATAATATTATTCCGTATGATTTCTTCACTTTGCTAGAGCGGTGGATTATTGGGCTCTCGGCATCCTAACTCATGAGCTTCTCGTTGGTAAGCCGCCTTTCCGAGGATCCGATCATATGACGACTTATAACAATATTCTCAAGGGAATCGAAATGGTTAGTATACCAAACATCGTCAACAAAAACGCTAATAATCTCATCAAGAAACTACTTCGTTTGAACGCTTCCGAACGATTGGGTTACCAGCGAAACGGGATACAGGATATTCGCGATCACAAGTAAGTCGTTAGAAAGATTTTACACAAAAAAGAAAAAAAAATTATACTTTTAAAAACATTTCACAAATTATATTATATACATATAATATATAATTACGTATAATAATATCTTAAATATCTTGTAAGAATACATTTTGTAAAAGATATTTTCTATTTTATAAAATATTAAAAATATAAAATACTTCTCAATATATATATATATATATATTCTATATATACAATATAAAATAGAAAGAAAGATGGTAATGTGGGTGTCCATTTTGTTTGTCTGTGTAATTTTTAATTTTTTAGTTAGACAGTTTAAAAGATCGTTTAAGAAAAGAGACTAAATGTAATGATAAAGTGGCTCTCTCCATCTATATTTTTATAAAATCTAGTTTCTTCAAGTTTATTCTTCGCTTCTCATAAAGTCCAAATATATAAATATAGCATTATATAAATTCACAAAAATTTCTAAGTGGATTGAAACGTTATTAGATATTAAAATTTTTTTTTCATCAATATGTTTCCATTCTTTTATTTCATAACTTCAACCTCTTTTTCTAAGGACACAAGACAATTTAAAAACCTTTTACAAAAAATAATGTTAATTATACATAAATTTTAAGTAGCCTATATTTCACCTTTTCTACTATAATAATTTTCTTTATAATAATTTTTATCTTTGTCCTTTAACAGATGGTTTTCCGGATTTAACTGGCAAGCACTTCAAAGATTGGCTTTACCGGCTCCCATTGTACCAACGGTATATTATTTTTACAAACATTTATACAACTTTTACTGATATCTGTGAACAAAGCACGCTTTCGACTTTTTTATCTTTTATGTAAAAAATTTTACATTTAATAATAATTAAAATCTATTTTTTATTTGTGCATTTCTAGGTACGACATCAACTCGATACACGAAACTTTGAAAGGTATCCATCTGACCGCGATATTCCACCAGATGAATTTTCTGGCTGGGACATGGAATTCTGAAAATGAATATAACACAGATACATACAACACAATTACACATCTTTATGTTATTAATATTAAAAAATACATTTTGTTAATTGTTTGTGTTTATTATAGATATATTAATTGTTACAGTTTTTTTTCTTAATTGTTACCAAAAGTAATGACAAAGATACTAAAATATCGATATACTTTTGAGATGTAAAAATAGATAACTGCATTATAGATTAAGGTATATTTTAAATAATTATTTAACAATAAGTAGTTTTTAAAAAAAAATTTTTTAACATTTTCGATTAGTCTTATTATAAAATTGTACAGAATATTGTTTTCTCGAAATCATTCGCTTATAAAATTCGTCGATTTAAATAGTTAATTAGATTCTCTAGGTCTTTTAATGACTAATTCGTAAAAAAATAATTTACTATCGTGAGAAGTTATATTATTTCTTTATAAGCAATCACTGATATATTCCGGTGTATCTCAGATACAAATGAATATACGTAATATTTTAATATTCCGTTTTGTGTAAAAAAAGAAAGATATTTGTAACATATTAAATATAATCTTGAATTACGTTTTTTCTAACGATAAAAATAAAATTTTTTAATAGTTAAATTATATAATTATAAGAACTGCAAAGATATCTTGAGATAATGACGTACCATCCTTAAATAAATAATTTTATAATTATTTTTCTATCATATAATATACCTACATATTCCTCACATACAAAAAAAAATATTATTCTAATACATATAATTTTAAATATTACTAGCTACGCATTATTGAATTACGTGGAATAAATTCTGGTCAAAATTATTCAAATATTTTCTAAATTTCTACAGTGCTTTCTGGGGAAAACAAAATAATTTCTAAACAATTCCCCAAAGCCATTACAATGATACACAATCGATGCATATTTTTTTGTTAGATTGCTTGCATTTTAGTAATTTATTAAAATGAAAACAATAGATCTGTGTGTTCGTGTTGCTATACTTTTTCCATTCAGTATCATTGCTTTCTCTTTTAAAATGTAAACATCTTTGGGAATTTTAAGCAATGCGAACAAAGCTAAGTAAAAAAAAATGTGCATTATATTTGTTATACGACAAATTTTTCAAGTATGTTAATTGGCTTGCAAGACAGAGATTCTCGGATCTTTCTGTCCTATAATCAATCAACAGCCTTGAAAAATTTGTACAACAAAAACGGGCAAAATGTATAGTATTGGTAAAAAATAATGTTCTATTCTCAACAAAACATTGTGTTTTTTAACAGTATTTTTGAAAAACGTAAGCGTTTAAAGCATGATTTTTACCAATCTTGCCTGTCTCAGAATCTTTGTTCCGCGTTCCGCGCGGATTTTAAAAAAGCCGCGTCGACGGCAAGTCGCCACGCCGCGTCGAACGAGCGGCGGGGGGGACGCTGCGCGCGTCGCTATTGGCCGGTGCTCGCGGCCGCATTCCTCCGTCAGCTGTGCGTAGTGCTAGTGGCGCGCGTGGTCGGTATCGTGTCTCCGCGGGCCCTGGCCAGTCGTGTATCGTATCGCGAGCGATTGTGGACGAATGCGGACTCGCGCGCAAATGGCGTCGTCGCCGTGCCGTTATGAGCGAGTGCGTGCCGTGCAATAACGCGTACGGGCCGCGTCCGGGCGCGGCGCCTCGCGGCCCAGCCTGACGGAGGAGCGAGAACGTGAACGCGCCGAGACCCCCGGGGGTGTGTGCTTGGCGAGCGTGTGCCCCTCGCTCGCCGACGGGGATCGGGAAGAAATCATTTTCGGAGCGTGTGCCCCCTCCCCCCTCCGGTGGGCCTGCCCTGGCCACATCGACGACGGAGGCGACGGGGAACGGTGTGTGTGACGAGAGTTGTGAGATAGGTCCAAAAGGTGAGTGCGATGGAGGCTCGTCTCGTCCCAACTTGTCTCGCGGGTGTGTATATATATGTATACATATGTATATACATATGTGCGCAATTTATCGTGAAGTGCGTTCGCTTGCGCGCGCGCGCGCGCGCACACGTACGTCGCACATTTCGTACGCGGATTATTCCCGCGGATTGGACCAACATCTGGTGCACGACGTCGAACGGCTGCGTTGTTTTCTCGATCGTCGAGGGGACAGCCGCGAACGCGAAACGGGCATGATAACGACTCGCGGAGGCTTAATTGCGCTATTTGATCTGTAGGCGGAGAGAAAGAGAGAGAGAGAGAACAGCAGCAAGAGCAACGGCAGTAACAACTGTGTAGAAACGTGCGGGCGACTTCCATGAAACGCGAGGCCAGGCTCGCGATAAAAATCGTGGCGCGGAGCGGAGTGACGCGACCGCGATAAGGAGAATCGTGATGAGCCGATTCCTAACGAGCGTCGGACAATTCGTCTTGTAGAGAGAAAAAGAGAGACAGAGGAAATCTAAACAACGGGAGGCGAGAACGACGATGCGTAAAAGAAAAAAAAAAAAAAAATATGTAGCGAGAAAGAAGTCGCGCGTTGTACACCGTCGCCCGTTTGTTTAGGTACACACGCTGTATTCTTTGTTTCCCCTCTCCTTTCCGCTCCTCTTGGACGCGGAGCGTTCTTCCGAGTTGTTGAAACTGGCGGACGTTTCATTGCGTCTAACAATAAAATAGTCCGATCTTATATTTAACATCAGAACTTACCGAGTAGTCAAAGAAATGACTGGTTTGTTTGTTTTTTTTTTGTCAGAACGGTGCATTTCTTTTCAGCTTTTCTTTACGATGTATATGTGATTAGTTTTTTTTGTCTTTTCATCCCTTTTTTTCGAAGATATATGTATATACGTATATCTTTAGTCAAAAATATTAAGTATCCTGTTAACCATTTTACTTAACATTTTACGTAGCTCCAAAATTGATTGTGACGTTTTCTGTAAATTTTATTCTTTGTTTCAAGAACCCTTCGAAATTATGTATAATGTTGTTTTATAGGAAACACTACAGATAAAAGAATTTCAGATTAACGAAAAAAATATAGGTCATTTTTTACCAAAGCTATTATATGAATGATATATATATAAAAATTTTTAATATATATTGAATATATTTAATGTATATTTCTTAATAAAAAATAAAAATACATTAATTATCGATATTTCTAATGTTAAAATTGATTTGAGTCTGGTCTTACTATCAGGGATCACCCATTCAATCTCGATGAAACGATTTATTAAAAAAAAAATACCGTCTTTAAGCCTTGTATTTCCACGATGATAAAAATCATTCCCAGATCTCCGACAAAGAAAGAATTAACAAATCACATTTGAACAATTCCGCTAATTGATCAATTGCTGTTGGTCGACTTTATCTGTCCGAAATCTCAGAACAATTTCTAGCATCGCGAACACAATTTAGAATCGTCTATTGACAAATACTATGATGCGTATATCACTGCCACATTTCCTCATATTATACGTGGGTGTTTTTTTCCATACACGAGTTTTTGCCTATTCTGCTTCGACGTGAATGACGTAAGGAACATTGTAAATACGCGCGGTTGACCGCTATTTTCCGTCTCCGATAATCCTTATTGTCAGAATTCAATGAAAGGTAGAAATTCCTAAGCTGCTAAGGGAGTTACTCCTATTTACTCAGCGTAAATATTATGTTAGAAACATTAGGGACGTGTTTGGTGCTTCCAGCGAAGCAAAACAGAGTAAATGATGAAAACACCTCTGCCAGATACGACGTCTTCGTTTCTTTTTGCATTACTTCTTCACGTTTTGAGGTAATTAAGGTGATGTCGAATGTTTCGAAGCAAACTTCAAAGTTCCGAGTCTAACTGGGGTAGCGATCTCGAATAGTAAATTTGATTGTTTTAAATTCTACAAATATAGGAAGACACACAGATGTAGTAATACCGGCAATAAATCATATGAACGGTTGAAAATAATGGCATTGTTTTACATAATAACGTAATTCAAATTAATGGTTTAACATATATATTTCTCTATTAGTATATAAAAAATTATGTCTTTTATTTATGCCTTAAAAAAACGGAAGTAACATCGAGTTTTCGGAGCAAAATTTGGACTTCTGGATCCAATTGGGATAGTAATCTTAAATAAATTTAATTGCTTTTAAATTATATACGAATGCACAAAAAACGTGAATATAGTATATTAGCAATAAATCACACGAACGGGTTAAAAATAATAGCATCATTTTATGTAATAATGTAATCTAAGTTAAAAAATCTGGTTTAACCTATATTCCTATATTCTTTGTTACAAATAGTGTTTCAATTAGATAAGTTAATGTGACATAATTAATAATTGCATAATATTGCGCAATTGACAGATGACTGTTATTTTATTAGAGAAAGATTTGATTTATGTGTACGATGCAGATTGTCGGTTGTGTTGGTGGGAAAGCCACAAAAACAAATTATCGTTATTCACTCATTCCATTTATTTATTTGATTAATTTTCTTACTCTTTATTATCTGTCTTGACAAATATACATAATAATATACACAAACACGCGTGCACGCGCCTTTTTAATTATTACATTGATCGATCAGTCAGATTTCATTGTTAAACATCTATGAGTCATAGCGCAATTTGGATATTCGATTAATATGCTAACAATATGTATGATTTTTATTATAAAATCTGTTTTATGCTGAAAAGTATAGGATTTTACGCTTAAATTAGAACCACGAGATTTTCCACTGCCCGACCTAAGTCAGAAATAACAGCTGGATTAGATGAAGAAATGCCAAAAACACGTCGTCATCAAATCGTAAATCAAAATTTTATTAACGCGCACCAATATATCAATGCTATAAATTGTGCTTTATGTAAATTCCATTGACTGTAACTTAATCATAGCTTGTTTGTTCCATGTGATCTTGGAAATCGGTATTCCTTGCCTACGTGATCGCTTTTAAACAAGATATTCTTGCGTACATAAAACGAGATCCCTGCCTTACACAATATTTGCTATAAATGCTCATTTTTATCTATACGATCCGAAATCTAAACGACGCGCGCACTTGCACAACGAGCGTTAATGAGCGAACGGATAAG